GCGATGCACAGATGGATCAGTCTCAATTGTTTCAGCTTCGCCAGCGACACCATCTTGACCTGAAAGCACACACACGAGGGTTCAATGTTCCCGTTAGGTTGCAGCTTTTACGTAACTCGAAACTCTAAAGTTGACTAAAAATAGAAGCGCAACCCGCAAACGGGTACCGTTCCGTTCCACCGGTGTAAACCACATTTTATGGCCAAGATGAGCCACCACGGGCCGTCTTTGTGGTTGCCAACAGTGACCAATAAACGACGTTCCGTTCCACACTCACTTTGTTGATACAACCACGCGGCAGACTTCAAAGCGAGACGGCGGGTAAACTGAACAATTCAGCAGCTGAGGACGGACTGGCCTGGCCTGACCTGAGCAATGGCAAAACAAACCAAATAGATATTGCAAGATATATACGGCTAATCAGCCTTGGCCTCAGTCAGCAACCGGGTGTCGCGAGTCCGCTATTGATGTATTGTCCACTGTAGAATTATCATTTATAGCACTCCGTCGTGGACAAAGTCCGTACGATCGGATCGGATCGGATCGGATCGGACTGTGGTAGGGTAGGTAGTCAGTATACGCCAAATCGCTCCTCCCCACCCCACCATCGCTCCACATACATGCATACTTTGTAGTTGCTCGTGTGTTTGTATGCGTGTATGGGCGAGCGAGGCGTGTGGTGGTGTGACGTGGATTACGGTTATCATCACCTCTCGCTCTCGCACTCTCAGTACCACCCACTATTATCACTAGCAAAGTCCAACACTCGGCGATTTGTCTCGGGCTTTGAAGATATTTTTAGATTTCTTATCCTTTGGCCTCATGCTCCATCTAGTATATAGACACGCTGTCGGCCACTTTGGGATTCCCTGCTTTTGGGTCTCCCAAACATGTTCAATGTTCATTTAGCGGAATATTAATTTTAGCACTGGCAGACTAAATGGCGGCCCGGCATACACTTCACTAATTACCTGTTTGGCAATGTTTTTGTGCGAATTGTTAGAAATGTTATTTGTTTGTTAAGCGTATAGCGTGCCCGTTTTGAAGTAATACTAAAAGGAACATGTGCTGGTATGTGAAGATTTTTGGTCACGTCTTTACACACATGCACTTCGGTATATTTCTGAGGGTCAGCAGTGTATTTGATCAATAAATCCGCGGTCACACTGTCTTCAATTTGCGAATAAATGCCAAAATTTCTTTTTGTTGAACAATTTGAGTGTCAAAGTGCTGAAAGTATTTGTTTGTTCACGTCGGAATAGTTACCTAAAGCAATAGCTGTCTGATTCTGAAGTGTATAACTGTTTTAGTAGACGAAAACTCTCACGAAAGCTGAGCAAAACTCAGCCGGCAGACGCAGACGCTTTTTTCTTGCACATTGCAGACGTGAGCAGCAGCAGCAGCGGCGGAACAGAAGGAGCAGGAGGTGCGAGGTAGTATAGAAATGGGTCTGGGGTTTGGGGGGATAGACATGCAATGTACATACCTGAACATGGTCATAACCGAGTGCTTATAGGTATAGTAATGTCCAATTCAGAAATCTACGACCCCTCCAATTCGGATCTGAGCAGCGACGAATACGGCACCGAGGAAGACGACGACGCTCTGATGGATGCCGCCGTCTGTAAGCAAGCTCCTCCCCCCAAGGAGACAAAACCGAGTTCCTCCGAAGCCGAAAAGGCACCGACACAGCCCGCGATCATTGTGGAGCTGCCGCCCAGTGACAAGAGCACCAAACCGCCGGTGACTCGCGAGGAAACCCTCCGCCAAATCAAGCAAATCCGTGCAAGGAAGAAGAGAATCATCTACTACAAGCGCCGCAGCATTCGATGGCAAGTGCACACAAATTGATTGATAGTTGAGTTTATTTTTAATTGGAAATCGTTTTTCCGTTCAGGCTCCGTCGGCTGAAACAGTTTCCTGACAGCAAGTTGGACGCCCTGAAGAGGGCTCTACCAATGTATAAGGCGCACTACAAGCGGCTGGCGGAGTACAAGCTCGAAAAGGCGGAATACCTACGGAGGCGGTTGGCTCGCCGCAGCTCCAGCGTCAGCAGCTACAGTCGCAGCCGCAGCAACAGTCGCTCGCGTTCACATTCACGCAGTGACAGCCACAGTCGCAGCCGCAGCGAGAGTAACTCGCCAGAGCTCATCTGCTTGGACGATACCGAGAACGAGGATTCGCCGGAGAAGGTGGAGCCGGTGGCGCAGACAGCCAGACAGATGACGCCCGTGAAGGAAGACAATCAGAAGTCGATTCCAATGCGGCAGGTTGACTTTGAGAAGCATCCGCCGCCCCTAACGCCCGAAAATGGCTCGGTTCTGGACGAATTCCTCACCATGAAGGCGCCCATAGATCAAGTGCTGCAGCAGCAAGTCGGCAAAGAGATGGACGCCTATGATCTGGCCCAGTTTTCAGCCACCATGAAGCAACTGACGGAGATCGCTCAGCCGAAGGAGGAAGCGGCTCCTGTTGTGGTGCCCACAGAACCACTGAAGCGCCGTCGCTCGGTGACGCCGCCACCGCTGGCCAGCAGCCAGGACAAGCGCTCAAAGCAGGAGTTTCCTGATACTGATGACGACGATGAGGGCATAGAATTCATACCCGTCGTGCAGGCGGCTCCTGAGCCACCCATTCGAGCTGTAGTTACACAACAGCAATATCTGCAGCCACCGATGCAGCGGCCCCAGCATCCGCCCGTTCAGGAAAAGACACAGCAACAGCAGCCGCAACCATTGATAGAGAAGCCACAGCCCCAGCAGCATCTACAGCCGCAGATTCAGCCACAGATTCTGTCGCAGATGTCGGTGCAGATGCAGATGCCAAGGCAGCAGCCAATGTTAATAAAACGCAAGGCACAGCAGCCGCAGCAGCACCATCCGCAGCCGCTGCCGCAGCAAACCCCACCGCGGCCACAGCATCCGCAACAGCAGCAGCAGCAGCCGCAGCTGCCATTGCAACAGAAACCACAGCAGGATCCTAGGATGATAGGATTCAAGCTTAGCACGCCCTACTCGCTCGCTCCAGGGGCAGGAGCCGGTCCAGGAGCCATTCAACAGGCAGTCAATCTGACCGCCATGGCCTACAGCCTGAACACACCCAGCCCCCCAGCCGTGCCCATGGAGATTTCCTATCCCACAGCGAAGTTGCCACAGACTGCTGCCAATCCGGTGAACCTCCAGATGCCAACGCAGGCCCAGCAGCCACGTCCACCGCCACTGGCCAGTCCCCAGCCCCAGCCACATCCTCAGCAGCAGCCTCTGCCCCAGGCGCAGACGCAGACCCAGACCTTCGCTGTGCCGCATCAGCCAAAGCCTCGCCGCTCAGAGACCGTCTCTACGCAGACCACGCAAGCAGCTCAAACCACACAGCCGACGCCTCAGAATCTGAATCAGAATCAGAATCCTCCGACTGCTCAGAATGCGCCGCCGCTCCCACGACCAAAAGCTCCACCCGTTGATCTCGGAAATCCTGATGCCAATTTCCATTACCATCTCCGTTCGCTCTACGAGGAGATGGACACGCAGCTAAAGTCGAAGATATCGCAGGTCAAGCCGGAGCTGAAGGTCCTGGCCAAGGAGCGGGAGCGCGTGGAGTTTGAGATCAAGAGTCTGGACAAGCAGATCAAACGCAACGAGGATGAGTGCAATCGTCTGCACTATCTGCGCCTCGTCCAGAACGAGCTGCGAGTCCGCCTGCAGGTGAAGGAGCGTGTGGCCATCATCCAGAGCCTGGTGCCCAGCCTGCTTAGCCAGAACAGCAGCTTCTCGGAGCTGCGCGAAATGCAATCGATGCTGGGGGAGTCTGTAGGCCCAGATGACATTTCAGATGCGGTGGATCGCTGCCTCGACAAGATGGAGCAGAACAAGAGCAACATGGAATTGATTCGCACGTGAGTCAGGGCTAAACAGGAACCCCCCGCGAACAAGTCTAAATTCTTGTTTCTCTTTTCAGTACTTTGGGTGTGGCGAAGGCACCAAAGAGGGAACCGACTGCCTCGTCCACTCTCCGCCCAGCGCCGCAACACTTTGAGGAGCTTCTGCAGCAGCGCAGTCGTAACTCCTTGCCGGCTATGCGTCCGCGTCGTGGATCCATCCATGATATCAATGACTTGTACGAACAGAGGCGCCAGTCAGTCGAGGACAGGTAAAAGTCAATCCATTCCCTCTTTTGCTCTCTCAACTTATGGAATTTATTTTTTGCAGACACATCCCATCGTCGAGTCTGGAGTACATGGACGGGCGACACTCGCAGGCCCAGGTGGGAGCCAGCTTCAGTCAGCGGCTGCCCAAATCTCCGAGCCTGGAGTTTTTGGCCGCCAGACAGGGACAGGGGCAGGCACCGCCGCACCATCGCAGCCAGAGCTCGCTGCAGGGCCAGTCCGGAATTGAGACTCTGATGAAGCCGCTGTACAACAGCAGTCCCTTGGCCCACCTAGGTCCTCCGGCAAACAGAAATGTAAACGTCTCTTGATATCCGAGTTCCATAATGGCTAATCTAATGGGTAATTTCAGCGCGAAGAAATGCATTCCAACTACAATAATGAGTCCTACTCATCGGGAGGAGAGCGGCAGCAGATGCAGCGCATAGCTAGATCTTTGGACAATTACAGCAGGAGACCACAGACTGGCGGAGAGGGCGCTGCCCTGATGAATGGCCAGGGGAATCCATTCTGCGTGGAGTGCGGCAGGAATGAGGCCAAATTTATGTGTTCCAACTGCTTCACACATTGGTACTGCAGTGAAGTGTGCCAGGTGAGCGATATTACCTGCAATCCTACTGAACCAATAAACCATTTCCTTCTGTACACAATTTTCAGCTACGCGCCTGGGATGCGCACGCCCCGTTGTGTGGCCAATAAATCAGCTATTCAGCATTACTATCTCTGCAAAACTATATCTAAAGTTAATATAACCCATAATCCATAATCCATTACTCAGTCGTGTCAGCTGCATCGAACATCCAGGTTCCAAGACAGAAACAAACTTCATATTCAGAGATTGCAATGCATTAAAAATAATCATTTTGTATTTGTAGTCCGCTCTCCGCACATCGATCAATACAAAACACTTAAACTATCGAACGTTACGCATTGTCCAACACTACTATCGATAGCTAGTGCTCGAAATGGAGGGCAATGCTGCATGTGGAAAGGAAATCCCTTTTTTGGGGATGGAATTTTAACTATTTACTGCGCCTGCGCACCTGGTACAGCAGCTGGATGTCATTGATATGCAGATGAAGCGGCTGCCTATTCGTCCAAGGGCCGCGTCGCAGTTTCCGGATGCGCAGCTGTCGGCTGCAGTGCAGCCTGAATTTCAGATTCGGATGCCACACATTCGAGGCGGCGGTGGCCGTGTCGGCGCTGGGTGTGACACATTTATAGGCGTATTGCCACCATAACCGTATGCTCTGCTTGGTGCTGTGCTACGGGTGTGGGCAGGTTGTAAATATTATTAGCGGGCCCTAAACAATCATTGTGGGGGTTTTTGGGTGGGTCGGGGAAAGACTCACCATGTAGACGGGCAAGACGTAGTAGCGCTTACACTCGCGTCGCCTAAAGTTGAAAGCTATGGGCTGGCGGTGCGTCGACGACACCTTCGTCAGGTGCGACCGAATGGCGCTGGCACTGGTCGAGCGCTGCAGACGCTGGAGCTGGGAAAAGGCACAGTCCCAGCGCATGGAACACAGAGCACGGGGCACGTAATTAGTAATTAGTTTTCCAAACAATTGAGCACCTTTTCAAAGCGCAATAATTAATATGCGCAAAATGTTTGCTATTTTGCTTTGAGCTCCTACAAAGAATTCGCGCCAAATTTGGCTTGCAAATGATTCGAATCGACTCCGGATTAGGCACTTTGTTTGCAATCCGCCCGCCAATTGTTGCAGTGGAGTGGGATCCAATGCGGAGGGAGTGAGAGTCCGAGTCCGAGACTGCAGTAGTTGGCCCTGAATCTGCTTATCAAAGCGGTAAGAGAGGCAAGCGTCAAAGCAAACGGTGAACGGCAAAGCTATTTGTACTTATCGGTGTCATTATACATACATACATACATACATACATATATATGCACATGTATACATAATTGCTGTAAAAATTACAGTTGTAAGCTTTGCACACCATTCTCCTATTCTCTCATGGCTTATTTATGCGATCGGACAGGCGGAGTCATCCAACTCGAAGTTGATTGCAATTAAGTCCGCTTATCAGTTTAGAGTCGCGATTTAAATTAACACTATAATGAAATCGAAGCAGAATTAATCCCGCACCCTCACTCCCACTCTCTTTCTCCCTCCTCTCTCTCTCTGTCCGTTATGTCTCTGTGTTCTGGTGTCTTCGCCGACTAGCCTTTGTTTTACCCTTTGGCAGTGAAGGGTATCATGATTTGGAGTAAATGTTTGCTGGAAGCATCTTCAAACCCACAAAGTATGCTGTATCTGCTGGTTCTCGGGGCACAGTCTTTAAGGGTATCCATATCTCCGTCCACTCCTCTTCGTGGCAGCCTTCCTTTTCTGGTTTTTGTATTTTCTAGCACAAGCATTAAACAGTTTTACAAGCCGCTAACGCTCAGAAATTGTTGCTAATTAGTTGAACTCGCGCACGCCGGCGCAGCGGACCTTAAAACCGAGTCCCATGGTGTGGTGCGCGGGTGGCGGGAGCAGTGCCAGCTCTAATAAAGGTGTGTTTGTGTGTGTGTGTGAGAGTCTGCGTCAAGATTGGAGGCAATCGAGCTGAATTAGATGCGGTCTCGGATGGGATGGGGCTTTGGGGTCGATTGAGTGCAGATCAAGCGATGAGCAATTTGTTTTGTTCATTGTTTTCTATTCAAGAAATCAGAAATTAAAAAGGACCTTGAATGCAATTTCTGTGATTTAATTTGCATACAAAATACCAAGTCGGGGCATGGCGTTTTTTAGTGCATTAAATTCCACTTCTCTCCTTGCAACTGTCGAACTCGAAACTTCGAGTTCGAAAAGTACCGTTTGTCGGCCATGTCATTTGTCGATCATGGAAACACGTTAAACGCTTTGCTTTGCCTGTGATATTTGCCTGATGACAGGCGCAATTAAAGAAATCTCAACGCTTCGACACAAGCGATTTGTGTGCGCTTTTTATTTGTGAATATTGTCGCTTTCGATGTTGTACGTACGATACGGTACACGGTATGTGCGTGTTGCTGTTGCTGTTGCGGGTGAGTGTTGTGTTTGTGTTTGTGTTTGTGTGTCACTATCTCGGCGAGTAGAGTATCTAGCAGCTATATCTAAAGGGGGAGTCGAGTCGTGTCTCCCTGCCCTGTCAGAGTGTTTCTGTTTCTGTTTGTGTCTCTCTCTATGATTCAGCGGCGCCCTCAACCAACTCCCACCACAATGAATGGCTGTCGCTGTGTTCCGTTCTGCGTTTCAGTTCAGTTCATTGGGATCGCTGGGGACGACAACGACGACTACGAGACTACGACGGTTGCACGGCACACGGCACACGGTTTTGAATTCGCAATTTTGTTTCGGTTTTCGGCGTTTGGTGTTCGTTCGGTGCTTCGGGCGGTTGTTGTCATTGTTGGGAGAAGACCCTCTCCCAAGTAAAATTCATGTTAATGAATGTTAATTTATACATTTGTAAGAATCTAAAATCTGTTTTTCCATACACAACAATTATTGGCTGCTGCTGCTGCTGCTGCCGCGGCCGCTGCTTCTGCTGCTGCTGGCGCTGCTCCCCAAATTCCAAATTGGAAACAGTCGCGCCTGAAACCCCGCCGTGATCGCGCACACTGTCCTTCTCTAAAAAAGGAGCACAATGGATCCCGAGTTTGTGAATAAATATAATCAGGTGCTCAGTCGCCTGAAGCTCATCGAGAACTTCGATGGCAGCGATCCTGGTAAGCTGCCGCCGTTCCTGCAGCGGATCGAGGCACTGATGCCGGCCATCAACAGCTTCGACGACTACTACAAGGCGCAGCTGATTGGACACATCAAGAACAAGTGCACAGATCGGGCACGGGAGGCGGTCTTCACCAGACAGATGAGTGCCCCAGCGGCCAATGGAAATGGGAATGGTCACCTGCTGAAGGCCGAGTCCTGGCTAAAGCTGAAGGATCAGCTGCTGTACAACTACGCGGAGCGCGAGTCCAGCTACTCGCTGATCCACAAGATCCGCAGCGCGGTGCTGGACTCGAACATAGAGCTGTACTACCAGAAAATGGCCAAGCTGAAGCACCGACTGATCAACCGGAAGCTCACCCACAACGACACGCTGTACGCGCTCGAGGATATCGAGCGAATCACGCTGCAGGTGTTCCGCGACCACCTGCCCGAGCCCACCCACTCGATGATCTTGCGGCGCAACCCCAAGAGCATGGAGGAGGCCTACCGCTACATCGTGGAGGTGCAGCAGCAATTCTACACGCAGAGCGGCTCGCTCGGGAGCGACCAGCAGGCGGCCACCTTCAGCACCAGCCACAAGCAGCACCACCTCACGTACGGCGTCGGCATGGGAGGCGTGGGTGTCAGCACCGTGGGCCTGGGCGTGGGCATGGGTGCTGTGGGTCTGGGCATGGCCTCGGGCGGTTATGCCGGCTACGGCCGTCAGATGTCCGACAAGGGCAACAGCCAGAACGCCAGCACCAGGAGCTACTACAACCAGGCAGCGCCCGCCGTGGGAGCGGGTAAGACGAGTCCCATGTTCAAGAGCATCGGAAATCCCACATTCAAGTCCAGCTTCAGCTACAACGGCAGCAGCAGCGGCAGCATGTCCTCCGGCATGTCCGGGTACTCCAATGCGAAGAAGGACGTGAAGGCCAACTATCAGCAGCAGAAGAACCAGAATCAGAACCAGAAGAACTCCATGAAGACCTCCAGCATGGGTGGCGGCAGCAGCTGGCGGAAGTAGAAGCCCCACAAATCGATCCCGAATCTGGTTTACAGCTCACAGGGGAGCTGATGATGATGATGATGGGACAATGAGCTAAGCGGAGCGCATGATCTAATCTCTTGGGCCCGTGACTAAGCCATGGCTTGGAGATTGGATTGGATGTCGAGTGCATGCCTCATGCTAATTAGCCCCCAACCCAAACCCCACCATCAATCCCAAAGTACTGTGTCTGATAGATAGTTCAATCGATGATGATGATGATACGGATGATGTAGACGTGAGCGTGGATGTGATTGTGGATGCAAATGACGATGAATCGATGCGATGACCGTGCCGACATGTTAATTATTATCTCATAAGACTCAATGTGTACATAGCCCCCCTCCAGACGGAACATTCCCCCTTCCATTTACCATAACAAAAACCCACCCCCACCTACCGCCCGAAATATAGGTTCTGTTTACCAATAAAGTGTAAAGTCTAACGCCTCGTGGCTCCAGTTTAGTCTGGTTCTTGGATGGATTGCTGCGGGTATTGCTCATCCCCCCTGCCATTAAATCTATTTATCGCCTGCTAATGGGATCGCTGAACTCTATTGGAACATTCCTTAGTCTTCTACTCATTCCTTTCGGATTGAATCACTTTGTTCCCTCTCTAACCATTACGTCTAATCCTTCTACTCACCACCTGTTGGGCACTCGAGTGCGACGCAGATCCTCGCTGATCGTAGCCCATATCCTGTTGTGCAGGCTCTGCTGCCTCCTGCAGCTTCACAGCCTTTGGCTTGGACTTGTCCTTGTCGCTCTTGGGGTTGCCGAAGAGGCCACGCTGCTCGGCCCGCCGGATGAGGTACTTCTCGTTGAGGTGCGTGAGGTTCTTGCGACGCACCAGGGAGAGGAAGCTGCCCGTCGTCTGCTGTCGGATGCACATGTCCTGGTGGATGCAGATGTCCGGCACAGTGTCTTGGACGAACTCGTCAATGTCCGGCGTGACAATCAGGTCGATGCTGTCCACACGGGGCAGTGGCGGCGCAGAGGATGGCGCTGGCAGCTCTGGCTGCGACTTTCGCTTGTCCTCGGCCGACAGTTTGTCCTTTTTGCGGGGCGAATCCTTGCTCATGGCAGCCGCCGGGACGTTGGCGGCCTCCAGCTCGGCCAGGGCCTCGAGGCGCTTCACCTCTTTGTAGGCATTGCGATGCTTCTCGAGGGCCAGCTTGTTGATCAGCTCGATGACGTACCCCACCATGTCCTCGTTCTCGGTGCTCACAATGGAGTGCGTCTGATAGAGGACGAACTGCACCTGCGGCCGCGACATGGACATGGTGAGGGTGAGCAGCTGCTCCTCCAGGATCAGGGCCACACGCGTGCGCCCCTCGTCGCTGACCTCCGACTCGGTGAGGACCTCCAGCATGCTGAGATCTCCGCCCCGCGAGCAGATCAGATCTATGGGATCCGAGATGGCACTGAAGGAGTTCGGGGGCGTGGCAAAGATGCCCACGACTGTGCGGAACCGATTGGACTCCATCGGGAAGGATGTGAAGGCGTCGCCGAAGAGTCGTATATTGTTCACGCCAATGGACTCCATGTAGCGTCGGTAGTCCTTCAGATTGGTGCCCGCCCCATAGACGTAGAAGTTGTTCACGCGGTTGATGGAGTAGAAGAGTGCCGCCAGATAGGCCGTGGAGCGGGGCGATCCAATGTGCGTCTGCAGAATGTCACCGTCCAGCTCGAAGTAATCCATCATTTTGGACATTATGGCAGGGCCAAAGGTGAAGTTTTTGTCCTAAAAAAGACAGAGGGAGAATCAAGATAATTACATGACACCAACAATTGTCAGTTTACAGCTCGTGGAAATTGCTCACAGTCGAGGGTGTACGTGCAGTGGATCAGATAATCAATTAATCCGACATCACGATCAGATAATTATTACCGAATCGTACCGGTCTCGCGTGTGCCCAGAACAGAAGCCACCGCATACCTGCATAATGAAGTAGTGTTTGGTCATCAGGTCGGATTTGGTGAACTCGCTGCGGTCCTTGGGAATGCAGGAGATGACCAGCGGACAGATGTTGTCCCACTTGCAGTGCTGCTCCAGCAGCGGCTGCTCATCGTCCGGCCCGTGGACAGTGAAGCCCATTTCCGTCAGGATTTTATCTGCCTCCACTTTGGTGCTGGGAAATCATTGAAATAGAGTTTGGAATTTAGGAGATCTTTGTCTCTGTCTACTTACCGCACTAGAAAGGGATTGATCCAGCCGGTGACCACAGGATTGGCTGCTGCTATGGCCACCTTTTCATTCTGCAGATGAATCGGGAGTAGCTGCGAGAGTCGCAGTGCTCCCACCTTGATCCTCATGCGAGAGAATGAGGCAGCCAGGCGTACACGATGCTGCCAGAGCACACTTGCCAGATCTGTTCGGGCTTAAGATGTGAGAGCAGGTGCTACAATTATTCAATGTCCGCAAAAACCAACCTGTGACCTCTGACTCCTTGTAGAGGCTCGCCTGAAGCTCTTGTTCCTCGGAGTTGCGGCCCTTAAACTGGCGATCGTGGAGCTCAAAGAGCATCAGCCATATGCGCTGCTCGTCCTCGAGGTACTGCAAGAGAGAGTGAGGTCAATATAGGCAGCGTTGAATATGCAGTGGAAAATGAATACCCACCTGGCTGTGCTGCTCAAAGAAACATACATCGTTCAGGGCATTCGACAAGACAACCTTATCTATAGAGGAACAGAAAGAATCTCATCAGATTGGACCATAAATAGGCTTGAGGCTAAAACACACATCGGAAGACATCGTAGACCAATGAGTAGGCCAATCGCATCTCGTGCTCATTCCGAAACTCCACGGGAATGGGAGGTTTGCGGAGCAGCTTCGCGGCATTTCCGATGGTGGGCAGAGTCCAGCGGGCGCCCGACTTCAGTTTGACTTTCACGGTGGTGGCGTGGCAGTGTTTTAGGATGCGACTTCGTCGCCCGGTGGGACTTACGCCGGGCGTGAGGATTTTCGTGATGCGCAGCGGATCGAACAACGGCTTCTCCTTTTTATGGATCTCTTGCACGGAGAGGGACTCGTCCGAGGATTCATTGACCTGCCGCTGGATCTCCAGCAGCATGTAGTACATCTTGTCCTGCCACTCCTCGTCGCTGGGCAGATAGATCTGCTTCATTTTCTTCAGTTTTTTACTCTGCTCCTTGAAGATGGTCGGATAAACGGAGAAGATGTCCGCGAGGCTGAGAAAGAACAGCTGGTTGGACATGGCAGCAGCAGCTAAAGAGGAGAGGATAACGGGACCAAGCGAGAAACGAGAACCGAGCACTTGCAGCGAGCAGCAGCAACTGAGGATGAGCGTCGCTTCGCGTCCGTCTCCTTGCGATGGCGTGTCTTTCATCTCCCCTCCGCCTGTGCCTCTGAGCCTCCTTCTCGTGTTCCCTCTCCCTCTGCCGATGCCTTTGCCCTTACACAGCCAATTTCCAATGACAATGACAACTGCTGATTTTATATTCCCATTCTCCCATTCCCCCGTTTTCATTTCCATTTCGTTCGGTTCGTGCTTAACACCAATTCAATGCTGGGAGTCGTATCCGACATCGACGGCGCTGCATGCTCCATGGAATTACTTATCTATCTCTGCTGGTGCTGCTGGTGCTGCTCCCCCTCGCCGCCTCTCACTCTTTCCCACCTGTCGCCGCATGCAATGTGCACGCCAATATTGAGCACTTACTCCCTCCGACTCCCGCTCTCACTCTCTGTCTGTCCAACCTCCAGTTAGCAAAAAAAATATCCACCACAAAGGACAAACGGCAGAAGAGAGGAAGCAAGTCGCGTAGTTGGATACCCTTTTTTGTAACAATTCCCTATGGAATATGCAAAATTCATCTGATTAGGATGCATTTTTGGATAAACTCTCGGTTTTACAGAAGACTGTAATCACACATACAGAGAATAAAGCTCATTACATACATTTGTAGATGGGTTAATTGCACACACACCTGATGGCAAACAAACATACCTTCTGGTAGGGTATTAATATGTTACAGTTACACCAAATGGGTTACGCTACAGCGAAGGAGCGAAAGCAGCAAAAGAGAGAGATAGGGAAAGAGAGGTGGCAGAAGGACAGAGGCAGATCGAAGCGATATCACACTTACCTTTTATTTTTGATGGCTTCGGTAATAAATTCTGGGTAATAAATTCCGTTTGCCATATTCGCATGATTCGCTCTGATTGGAATACGTCTTCAATAAATTGCCAAAAATGTCACAGTCAAAGCGGCGAAGACACGCACACAGGGGGCAGAGAGAGATACAATATAGAATGATAGAGGAATGGAATAGACATCAACATCAACATCGACTTAGACGGGGCTGCCATTCTTCAATGTGTTGGCATTGATTGGTTGGAGCTGGCATCCCCATCCGCTCGTATTGGGGCTCAAATCGTTTTAGTCGAACATCAAATTAGTTGTTGATTAGAAGGGCTCTGAATAGCAGTTTGGAATGGAGTTCGAGAGCAAGGAGGGAGCTACAATTTATTGGCCTAGGTCAAATATCGATTATCGCCCGTCAGCCGCCGCATATTATTGGGTCAGAGAATGAATTGAATGTCAATTTGATTGGCATATCTGGGGTGCATGGAGAAAAACATATAAATATATTTGCGAGTAGAATGGGAGGAGGTGACCTTGAGCTGGAGTAGAAAGTTCAGCCACAGGCTCAGAGTATGGAGCGAGAAACTGAAATGATTTCGCCTCCCAATATTTATCTGCTTAATTGAATTGAGTTACTTTGGTTAACTTCTTAACTAAGATCAATTATAATTGGAAAAAATCATATCAATTAAAAGCCCCTCTGATTCATCTACCCTGATAATTGACCACAACACTGACCAGGCAGGTTTTATGGTGGGGTTCCTCCGCTCTACGCTCTGCACTCTACACTCTATCCGTCCGGACTACGGAGGTTTGCTATCGGAAAATAATATTATAGTATTGTATATAAGTGAGTACCTATGACTGGTGGACAGAAATACTTAGATATGAATAAGCAAACTTGAATTAAAGTTATCAGGAGTGTATGTCAAAAGATAACTCGAGTATCATAATTAAATTTTTCTTCTTTTCAGTGCTCTTTCCTGGGCTGGGCCTCAGACCTAAGGCTGGGCGAATGGTATATGGTAATGGTAAAGCCACCCTAGCTTAGGGAAGACTCACTTATCGGGACAGTGCGTGTCCGTTGGGAAATCCTCCATCATAAATCAGTGGGCGAGTTTCTGGGCTTTGGTTTTTGTTTTGTTTTTTATTAAGAAGCATATTTATTATATATAAGATGTATGTAATACAATAATTTTTCTTTCTTTCATTCTTGTCTGTCGTGTTCGGTCTTCTGTCCGGGGGTTTCATTTTGTTTTTATATTTATGGTTCTGTCGGTTTCATTTCAGTTGTTTCGGTTTTTCATTCAGTTTTTTGTTTTGTTTCTTTTTTATCCATTTTATATATAATCATATAAAACACTGAGCTACAATACAAATATTGTGATAAAAACTTACAACATAACCTTTAATACATAAAAATACTTGCGTAGTCTACAAATCGTATCGTTATAAGAGATTTTCTTCTTCATGGATCGATCGTTCGCTCGTTCCGTCTTTTCTTGGTTCCTCCTCTTCTTGTTCTCGTTCTCTCTTTGCCTTGACCTTTTCCTAAATTGTTTTCATTTCGCCTCAATGGGTTCTGTTTATGCTTTTGCTTTCGTTTTCGGTTCTCCTACTGTCTGCCTGTCTGTCTCTTCTTCTTAGTTGTTTGTGATCTACTCTATTGAAAAAAAGTCTCAACTTCTTTCATTCATACGTTCGTTCATTCTCCTCCATTTCCACATCCAACTGTTCTTTTTGTATATTTGCTCTTGTGCCGGGAGGGGAGTGATTCTGCTGGAGAGATGATTGCGAAAGCAGAGAAACAACGAAAACGTTTACGGTAAAGGTAAACCAGCATTCCAGAGGGGCGGGCAAGGCAATGGCCTGGAAGAAAAAGAGTGGTGTTCGAGAGAGAGAGAGAACGATTTGCCCCCGGAGAGAGAATTGCATGAGTTCATCGAGTTGTCCTTCATCCTCCTACAGATGTGGGTTCGTGTGGGGTGTTTTATATGATTCTTTGCTTGTGGTTTGTGGATTGTGGGTGCTTGCAGCGTTAATTACAGTAGAAATAAGGTTTAGATTTATATATATATTTGCATAATCAGAATCATAAACATAATTTTAACATAGGACAAAACATGACAAATTAAAATTGAGTGGACGTACCAAAAAAGAGAATATACAAAAAATTATCATAAATTTTGTTTTTTTCGTATGTTAGTGCCGAGTATTTTGTTTTAGATCAATATTTTTTGTTTGTTTTTGGTTCGAATTGGTTTGATTTGTTTTGTTGATTGTGTGTGTGTTAAAAACATCGATAAAGCCAATGCTCTGAGCAGTTCCATACGAAAGGGACTATGGGGGGAAATCATAGTTGTATTTATAATCGTTAAAATATAATAATATAATAATAAGAGAACCAACATACAATGTTTCGTTATGCGTTATGCTTTTTTGTTTTTGCTTTTCCTTTTTTTTTTGTTTTGTTTTATACACATGTACACGCATATGCATAATGGGCGTTATATAAGGGTTTATATGTATATAATTATAAGTAATAAATTTGTATCCTTTTTGTTTCGTTTAATTATTTGCACACGAGAATCAGAAATTACTATTTGCAATCATATATATATAAAAAATAAACTTAATTGCCGGCAAACGGGGGCCACATGTCCTGTACCCCCTACACATATCATATCGTATCATCATCCCTACATACATATATCATTCCTATACCATTTCCCATTCTCATTCCCATTGCATTCCATCCCTACTACAACGTATCCATCAATCACTACTATATATATCATATCATATATATACGTATGTATAATCATCCTATCCATCCATCCTATCGTACTTGTTCCGGGATTTACTTTAAGCTTAATCAAATTTTGGAAGAGTAAACAATACCATCGTGTTCCTTGCAATTGTTGCTGCTGCAAATGCTATATGTAAGTGTATCCTGGATGAGAGTGTGTGTGTGTGTAGATCGCTTTTGAGTGAAAACTAATGATTAATTAATGCCTTGTTCGGTTCTGTTCTGTTCTGTTATGATCTTTCTGGCTTCAATTTTTTTACTCTCTCTTGTTTTTACTCACTTCTTTTTCTCTTTCTTTGTTTTATTCGAGTTCTTTAACTAATTTTTTTATAATTTCTTTCCCTCTGTCCGTTCTATTCCCTTAATATTTATACGTATAAACTTTTATAATTTTATACTAAATGGTTTTTTGTTTACGGTTCTTTTTTTTGGGTTTTTTGTTCATTTTTTGTGGTTTTGTTTTTGTTTCTTGTTCTTGTAATACAAACGTCATCGTGTATATATATAAAAAAAGATGTCCAAAGTTTTTACGTTACGTTACGTTATTGTATATATACTTTTTACTTTTTGTTTTTGTTTTTTGTTTTACTTAGTGGATCGATCGTTCTTCCTTTTGATGCTGATGGTGGTGAGAGTGAGAGTTCTGTGCCTGCTTTTTGCTTTACAGTTGTCCTAGGTTTTGTTTTTCTTTGTTTCTTTTTCTTTTAAATGTAAATGGGTCTCTTCTCTTAGAAAACTCTTGTCGTCCGATGTCTGAATGCTTATATATGAGAGCGCAGCGCCTAGCTATATAGGGCCTTACTATATAGTATCGTACTACATATGTATATATATATAATGTGTGTGTATGTGGGTGTTTCCTTCCTTCCTCCTACTCGTATGTATGTATATATATCGGGATATACATATGAATACAACTAACGGCCAATTTACTTTGTTTCCTCCTTCTCTTTGTTCTCCTCGGTCGACTCCTTCTCATTCGACTGCAAAGTATAGACGGAAATAATTGATTAATGAGTGATGCAGGTACATATGTAAGCAATATATTTATTGTCGTACCTTGTCCTTCTCCAACTCCTTCTCGATCTTATCGCCCTCGGGGCCCTCCTGCTCATTTGATTTCTCCTGCTCACCACCTTCCTTGCCCTCCTTGGTCTCGGGTCTGCAAGAATAAATTCAAAATCAGTTAGAAAATAACTATATAGAGGGATGTGTGTACTCACTCTGGCTTGGGAATGTGCGCATTGAGATCCAGCTTCGTGCAGATCTCATCCCAGTCGGGGAAGCACTTGTCCTTCATGCGCGACACGTGGCCAATCAAGTTGGGGCACTTCTCGGTCATGTAGTCGCGCAGCGGGTACGCGATATCCTTGGACAGATAGTGGAGCTGCGAGAGCACCGCAAAGGCCACCACATCGAGGGTGGTTGGCTCGTCGCCGAAAAAGAACGGCTTGCAGTCGAGCATCTCGCTGAGGACCTTCAGG